AGACAAAAGACACTTTGATGAATCTTAGTTAGAACGTCTTGCAGCACCCGGCTTATTCATTAAGCATTGCTCCATCCGATTACTTGTTCCGGTCGATATAACACCCTCTTGATATGATATGCATTTCCAATCACATCCGAATGAATGAGATCCGAAAATAGCTTGACGACTTTATTGTGTCCAAAGACAGTATTTTTCTGAAATAAAATTCATCAGTTGCCTGAAAAATTACTTAAAGTTATAGAAAGTAATAACGCATACCTTAATAATTAGCTCCGCTAATTAAAAAAAGATCTGTTTCTAAATTAATTAGTGATTAGCGATGGATCCTATACAATAATATTCAACGCAAACAAACTTGGAAAAAAGAGATGAATCCAGTCAGCCTATCAGCCTAGTTTGCATTTTTAGTTATGCTATTTGTTTAGTGGAATTATGCAAAGGTGTAATCTATATGTAATTTTGAATTGTTTCCTGTTGATGAGACGATTAATTCCAACAAGTACTGCCAATAAGTGCATAGTTTAAAGGTAATAATTCAAGAAAATCGTCTGATTTCGGTCAATAGAATAGATGTCATCTTTCATGACATAATGCCAAACCTCATGTTTCAATGTAGACAGTACAAGCTAAGCATGTTTTTATTATATCTTCCATATTTTTCTAACATATTGCACTATCAAACTATTACTTGTTCCGGGTCATTACAGATCAGTTTAAGTAAGTAAAAATAACATTTTATTTTTTGAAATCTTAAAAAAACTACGTTTTAAAGTTCTTTAACGAGAAACCGCATATATTCTACGATCATAACATCCATATGTTGTCAGAATGTTGGAAAAAAATTATAGAAAGTGATGGAAAATATTGGGCTGATTAGATAAAAATTTGGTAACTAAATCATCTAATTTTTTATTGCGAAAAACAGGTACGAACTTTTGCACTCATCCAATAAAATTATATAATGAATATTTACTGTTATACACCCTGTGCATGTTTTAAGAAAATGTTTTTGTGAGGCAGAAATTGTTTATTCCAAAGAAGAAATAGTTGTCAAAATAATTCATAATATTGTCATTCCAATAATTTTTCTTTCCTATTTATCTAAAACAAGAGATAAAGAAAGAGAAAGAGAATAAAATAAATTTATGTATTTAATATAAATGTCGTTATAGCATAAGCTACAACAAATAGACAATATTAAAAATTACAAAAGTAGCAGCATTTAAAAAATAAAATTTGAAATTGTATCTAAAAATCAAACTATTTTCCGTTAGGGAAAAGAAAAATTTTTCATATGATATGCATTAATTGTAGTTCATGTAAAGATTCACTTATTTTATACAGGATGTTTGGAAATTCCAAAACTTAACATAAGAAAATTTAACATCCAACATGTGCAAGTAAATTGCATTAAAGTAATCAGAAAATTCATCAACCATCTTGCAAATAATGAAATACCGAGATATTAATTAAATAAAGTCGGTTAATCAATGCATATGTAGGGTGGATCGAATTTTGTGGATATGATTATACTAAAAACGACTTCAACTTGATTGTTTTTTATCGACAAAGAATGTGGATGTGCAGTATAGCTTCGCATATTATTTTCTGCTGCTGCTACCACGATGATGCCAGGATGAAGATGCGTCTCATATAAATTTTAAACGAACAAGAATCATATACATATATGGTAGCTGAAGTGCAGAGCGCATATTTTACATATTTGAGTGATCGCATATCTTTTCTATTACGATTTATGCGGAGCTGTTCTTCGTTCTGACATCTTTGATACATACTCCATTCTTCGCTGTTAACCACTTATCTGTTAATGACGAAAATTTCAATTTTAAAAGTAGATTATATAGATCTAAAAATCTTTAAAATTCCACTTTCATGCAAATTGAATAATTTTCTATATTTTTTTGGCTATTATTGGATCTATCATTTTTACTTAAAACTTTTGAATTCAAAATCACCAGCTTAAAAAATGCCTGAAGACTAATTTTTATATAAGTCGATAATTATGTAAAATTTTTCGCCGCTATATTCGCCCCGCTATTTTTGTAATTAAAAATTTTTATTTTGAACTTGAAAATTGCGATTTCGAGAAACTTCAATAAAATTTTTTATAATAATCGAACGAGTCTTTGGATATTTGTCCTGTCATATTAAATTCACCATTTTTAATTTTGAAATTTCAATCTCAAATTCAGATTTAGCGACTTAACAAACTTCCAGAAAGTATTTTGTTTATAATTTAATTAATTTCATTGTCAAAATCATTTTGGATACACAAGTATTTTTATCACCCAATATCAAAAGGAAACCTGAGAACGACTGTTCCGTAAGATTTGCAGAGCACACATATTCCGACGTACCCTCTGATAAAGTGTATGTAAACTATGTCCGGATTGTATCTACGAAGTATACATCAATCAATATAGAATAATGTAATAAAAAAATTATTCCGTAGTCAAAGGCCGAAAACCTGCGAAAAACAAGAAAATCGCTTACATGCAAATCGAGTTGATATTTGGTACATCAAATCGAGTTGATATTTGGTAACCGATTTCATTTCTTTTTGTTATGCGCTGTCCTAATACGTTAAAAATATTCATGTTTTACAAAGAAACTTATTTATTAATCCTTTGTACTCGGAGCCATCTCGCAGGTTACCTACCAACAGCTCAGCGGCATCTTTTTAGGAAAAAGTGCAAATAGGAATCGCGTCATATTAAATAATGTAGTTGTGAAACCAAGTAATTTATTGTAATGATATTTGGTTTATATGAATCTTTACACATTGAGGAACATATTTATGACAAAAAATTAAAATTTTATGTTATATTTTTCTAATATGTGGTAATGTGTGAAACAGTCACCGATATGCATTGCAGGTTCGTTTTGCCATTGTTCTGTAAACTAAATAAATGGGTCAGAAATTTCTAACTATAAATTACAAAATCACAAAATAAAATTTACTAAAAGAATATTACTTTTCCAATTTTACTTTTTTGACTTATAAAGAGAGTGACACAACTGTCCCTCACCGATTTGAATGGGCTTCGGATATGTTGTAGAGCATCAAAAACTAAGGGACACGTATTTTTTATATATATCGGCTTCGGAGCATGTTTAGGGAGTGAAACTACCCCTTGAAAAAAATAGCCGTTATCGTTTTTAGCAAATATTTTCTAAATTATAAGTATGAAAAAATATGAAAAAAAGTTTCAGACAAAAGTTTTGCAATATTTTATGCTCTTTGCAACCATGTATCCAATTTTTTAAAATTTCAAATGTTGAACTACTCTCCCTCGCCCTCTCATTACTCTGACAAAATTTTTAAGTTTTTGTAAGGACAAAAATTGTAGAGCATTAAATACCAAATCCATCCATATATAATATTAGAAGATGGTATTTAATATTTTGGACAAAATGCAATGAGAAAACTTCATGGTATATGTACCGCGCTGCCCGAATAGATAAATACTGTAGGTAGGCATGTATGTAGTTTTTCCGTTAGATATTTTTCGAGTTAGAAGATTTAAAAGCAGTATCGCCGGCATTAGCATTAGCACCTAACCAAGGTGTACCACGTGAAGGTTGCATGGTCGGATTTACTTCTCTTTTGTGTGTGCGTGTGCGTGTGTGCGTGCATGCGTGTGTGTGTGCGTGCATGCGCGTGTGTGTGCGTATGAGTGTGTGTGCGTATGCGTGTGCGCGCACGCGCGCGTGTGTGTGTGTATGTGTATGTGTGTGAGAAGTGCACCGTCAATTTTGTTATTTTCATTTTTATGTGCGAAAATCCTATTTCCAATTTTAACATTTTAACAAACAATTTTAACAAACTGGCACATTGTCAGACTGTTAATGGCCAGCAATTTGAGCATTTATTATGAATGCAATGTTCAGAAACATGTAGCGGTATTTACGCACACTTAAATAAAAATATGTATATATGTATGTATGTACACACGAGGGCACACGTCGCGCGCCCACTCACACACACACACAAAAGAAGAATAAATCCGACCATGCAACCTTCACGCGGTACACCTTGGGTAATATTAATGCCGGCGATATTGCAACTTTTAAATCTTCTAATTTGAAAAATATCTAACGAAAAAACATTTAATTATAGTAATTTTGAAAAGCCTTCGAGATGAGCTATAAGAATATGTAATGAAAAATAGAGGTTCGATTTAAGAAATTTAAGATGACCACGTAACCTTGATAACGCTATTTAAGGTCCTAATAATATTGCCATATAATGCGCCTTATAAAACCTTACTAATTTTGTATGGAACATTTTTTTCTAAAATGCGTATTTTCCGAGATATTAAGGGGTTTCGATACTTTTCGTACACCCTGTATATAAAATAGGTAAAAGTAATATTAATATAAAATTTACACGAATGTACATAGATATTATAAAATAGTGGCAAGAAAAAAACAATTAGAGAATACGAGAAGAATTCTAAAAATTTCAACAAAAAATGAAAACATATATGAAATATTTATCATGGAAACGATAAGATATTTAAAATACAAAAGTAGACGTTAAAAATATATACTTAATATTTAGGGAGAACATATGAGGCAATGCAAGAGAGGAACGAAATTTTAGAACTTTTCCAATAATTAATTAATGGAAAAGATAAACTAAAAAACTAATATATTGTTTTAAAGATTACAAGATTCATATTTAAAAAAAATCTTTAGTTGTATATTTCCTTATTTTACAATTTTCGAAATATTGAAATATTGTCAAAATATTGAAATAGTAGTTGCCTATATAAAATGATGTTAATCAAGAATACTGCTTTCATTTCAATTTTTTAATATTTACAATTAGTACCACAATAAATGCACTACTTTGTCCTTTTCAATTTTTTTTATTTTCTATTGTCCAATATTCTATTCAATTATTTAAATTAATTTATAATATAAATAATTTTAAAAAATAATATACTTATAATTCTTAGAATCACATTTCGTAATCAATAATGCGGATTTTTATTCGACGTTATTTTATGTAGTGTTGTCTTTGGTTTTAAATTCTTTCTCGTTATTTCTTTAAAATAAATATATCTTTTTAATAATATGAAAGTATTGTAACATACATATCATAATTTTTCGGTTGAGATTAATTTACTTCATTCGTCGATTGTGATTTTACAATATGTGTGAGAAAACTTGGATTAGTTTCTTTCTTGTCGATGGTATGCAAATACTTTTCTCTTGCATCTAAAACTTCTTCAAGTTGTCTTTTGTGTCTCATTGCTAATTCCAAAGCTCTGTTTAAGATAATACAAATAACAGCATTAGACAAGAATCAATTACTTTATAAAATTCAGAAACGAAACCAAATAGCATGAAAAAGAGAATTCTTACATGGGATTAAATATAATTTCAGATTTATTATAAAATATATAAAATTATATAAAATATATAAAATATATAAAATTATAAATATAACATAATACATAGAATGTCCCATAACTCAGTACTAGAAATTCGTGGAGACACAGAACGGATTAAGATAAACATAAAATCCCATTCCATTTTGTGATATTCGCAATAATTACCAAGTTATTAATTACAGAAATCTGATGAGTTAGCGCGCATGAAGATGGATAATTGGAAAAACGTTGCAACCACTCGGGCCACAGCGCGGTCCAGTCGATTTAGCAACTGCTGCTGGCGCACAGCGAGGAGGACAACGCGCCGCTAATCGTGTTTTACCTCGCCACACGCCGCCAACAGTTGTTAGATCGACTGGTCCGCGCTGTGGCCCAAGAAGCTGCAACGCTTTTCTAATCGTTCATCTCGGCGCGTGCTCACTCATCAGATTTCTGTAATTAATAATTTGATAATTATCGTGAATATCGCAAAACGGTATGGTACTTTTATGTTTGTTTTAATCCGGTCTATGTCTCCACGAATTCTGTAAAAATTGTTTTAGAACACTCTGTATATAGATTATAATATATATTTATATCATATATAATATAAATAAATTTAAAATAAATTTGTCAATAACAAAAAAATGAAACTGCTAGGCATGTGTGTGTGATAATTTCATTTTCTTAATCTTCGATGTATGTGTTATTAAAGACGACTAAGATTTTCGATAGTCTTCAACATACCTATTCCAATTATAGACCTCAGTGTTAATACGTATAGCTTCTTTAATCAAACCATTTTGTAATAATATACCTTCTGCCGCTAACAAATCACCAGCTAACAATGCCATTTCTGCATATTTTTCTGTAGCATTGGATAAACTCTGCAAATTTTTCATGAAAATTTACATTGATCTTTAATTAACTTTCATTGATCGAGTAATTTAAATGAATAAATGCTCACTTTTATATATCTGATATAATCCACCTTGTCGTATCTACCGATAGCTGCATAAGCTTCTTCCGCCGCATCCAATTCCTTATTATCAGTTGCTATAACAGCCATGCAAGTCCACAATATTTCGTTCTGATAGAAAACAATTTTTCAAAATATAAAATAATTTTATGCTCGGTAAGAAAAATCAAAGTTTATTTTTAACTTTATTACCTGAGCTATACGACACAGAGAAAGCGCTTCCTTTAATCTTTTGTTCAATACATGTTGGTGTAAATTCGTGAACAGAGTGTAAAAAGAGGAAGCAACAATAGCACCATCTCCGCGTTTCACCATGATAAGACCGTTACGGACGCTCACGATGCTAGGATGTTTCCCAAATTCGCTACATCATAAAAGTTATGGCGAATCGTTAATTTAAGTTATTTGATGTACTAATTAAATCAATACGAGTTTTTTTGGACAATTACTGATTGAAAGGAACAAATGTTCGATTCTATTCGATATCTATTCGATCATGTTTCAGTAAAGCAGACGATGAAATCATATTCTTCAGTAAAGTGAAAAAAATTCAATGACACTAGCATGACATGAAATTAACATATTGACTATTATACTAATTTCCATTGATCATTGCAATGCTCATCTCAAGTTTAAGCCACTAAAGATGTGTAAATGCAATTCGCAATGGATATATTTGTTAACTCATTTCATTGACTCTATGAATTATATATATTATATGTTATATGTACAATTTGTTATGTTTTATATATAAATTAGTAGAGATGTGCGAACTATTCGAATTCGAATCGAATCAAATCTAATGTAATTTGATTCGATTCGGATCCGAATCCCTATGATTCGAATCCGAATAATTCGGAAATTTTGAATTGCGAAGATTCGAATACGGATCAAATACATTAGCGTTTGTGCGCATCAGCTACAAAACGGATCATCTGGGCCTCTATGTTTGAACCCTTAACTTGTAATTAACTTAACTTATAATTAATAACTTAACTATAAATTATTTTAAATATTTAAATATATATTTTACTTTAAAATGATATTACAATATCAATATTATCCCTTTCATATTAAAATCATCATTATTTGCATGTTTAACAGTCATGTTAAATTTTTTAATGATTCGATTTGATTTTATTCGATTCGATTCGAATGAAATTTCATAGATTCGATTCGATTCAAATTCGAATTTAAAAAATGAGATTGGATTCGATTCGATTCGACGTAAAAATTCTTGATTCGCACATCGCTACAAATTAGTTATTATTAAAACGCGCTAATATTATAACGCTTTCTAATATTACAGCGATTACTGATAATCACCATGACACAGTCAATATGTTAAATGAAGTAATTATGAAGAATACCTGCTTTCCTTATCAATTCTTGTTTGTCGTATCACTTTACGATCACTGTAATGAACGCAATTAGGACATAGCCATACAGACAAAGTTGTGTCCAACATGGCAGCCAGGACGTTTGCATCGGTCGCCCAAGCGATATTTTGTGCCATCGCAGCTGTAACAAAATAGTAAACAATTATGACATTAGTAACACGGCTCAGAAGTTATCATTCTTTAAAACTGGTTTTTCTACTTAGAGTTTTCATTAATTAAACTATTAATTGTACTACCCAATAAACGAAATGTATTCAGCATTGCAAACTTTTATATTTTTAATCCTCATTTACCATATAGGAGTATGATATACCCAGAGCATTTGAAAATCGTGCGGCATTTCTAAAAACCGGAAAATGAGAGGACTGGATATGGGAGGGGAAAAAAGTGTTTAAAGTATTTAACGTATACTTGTCCCTATCTAGCATCGTCAGTTTGTATAAAAAAGCCATAGCGACTGTACATGAAAGTTGTGCTCAGATAAGACATACTACAGTGCGATAATAACGTGAGCAAACGAAAAAATTCAAGATAAGTAAATATCGTTGAAAATCATTATTTGTTGAATGTTTTGAAAGAAATAAGTAGTACTTGCAATGACAATACTAAAAATTAAAAAGAAAAAATGGTTTTTCTATGTCTTAGAATTTTTTTTCGCTACTGTATGCATATGGCAGAGCGAAGTTGTTTTTGCTTTTTATTACCACAGTTGACAATTGTATATTTAGCTTTAAATTTTTATCAATAAATGTCTTCTTACTGCGTTTTCACTCGATTTTTATTAAAACTTTTTTTACTTTTACTGAGCCGCCATTTGATGAAAATATAAAAATATAAAAAATAGAAAAACATTTCTCGAATAAAAATGTAATGGTTTGAAAAGTAGACGTCGTTTTTATATTTTTTTCAATATTAGAATTTTAAACATATTTCCACTATTTACTTATTTTTAATAAAATAAAAATTTTGTTGTTATTAAATAAAAGGATATTTTATATTAAATTCGACCATATATAATAATGCTACTTTCCAACATACAAATTTTCCGAAAAATAGATAGGAACACCTCTATATCAAGTTTTCCAAAAATAAAGGACCTCCCATCTCAGAATCTATGCATTATAGGAAAAAATAACCCGAACAAAAGTTTTAGGGTTTATAAAGTTCTGTTCTTTTGTGATTTCAAATTTGACCTTGACCTCGACCTTGAAGATCATTTGAAAGTCAACTTGCATTTTTTAAATAATGGGAACCCCTATTTTTTATTACACTTTTTTCTATCAATTAATTTGAACTTTTCTCTAAAACATTTTTTTATTTGCCTAATATTTTTTGAGATATTTGTTCCCATCACTCCTTCTATCTCCCTCTCCCCCTCCCCCTCCCCTCCCCAACATTTTTCCATTTCCTTGATCCATCCCTCCCCCCTTCCCTTCTCTCCCAGCACCTGCCCCTCCATCTCCTGCTATTCTCTTTCCTCTCTCCATCCTGTGCACTCCTCCCATATATGCTTGCATGTTCCTCTCACCTCCCACACATCCTGCCCCTCCTCTTTCATCCTCCTCCCAGTACCTTCCTCCTCTCAACTCACAGCCTAGCCTAAATCTTACTATCCTCCTCCATCTTTTCTCTCCCCATCCCATTTTCAGATATCCTGGTACCCCCTTTCCTTCACCCTTCCATATCCCTCATTGTATCTTGATTCTCTTATCCTTTCCCATCTTTCTTCCTCCTGCCTTCTCTTTTCTCTACTCTTTATTTCCTCTCCCTTTATCTCCCCTCCTTTTTCCCTTATCTCCTCTATCTTGTCTATTTCCACCTATCCTCAAAGAACCTTCTCCTCTCTTCCTCCCATTTCCCTACTTCTTTTCCTCTCCCTCCCTATCCCTCATCTCCATCCAGCACATTCTTGCTATCTCTCCCCCCTTCCTCTCTCCCATCTCTTTTCATACTCCCACGCTCTCATTCCCGCTCTACTCCTCAATAACTCCCTCTGTACCTCCTCTCTCACCATATATCCTGGCGTCCACCTCTCTACTCCCAATATCCATCTCAAATACCTTTCTTGCAACTCCTCTATTTTTCTCCTCTCTCCATCCCCAGCTCTACCCCGTAACTTATCACCGGCCACACTAGTTTATCAAACAGCCATACCGTCCTTCCCCAATCGTTTCCAAGCCTCCTTTTTCCTATCCCCCATACTTGCCCCATTACCTTCGTTCCCTTCCTTACCCTATTTCTCACCTGCGCCTCCTACCCTCCATTCCTCATCACCATATATCCTATTTATATTCCTTCACTTCCTCTAGTCTCTTCCCCTTCCATCTCCAGTCCACCTTCCTTCATCTCCTTCCACTCCTCCTGCACCTCATTACTTTCGTTTTTTCTATGTTCACTTCCAAACCCTTCCTTTCTAAGTACCTCTCCAGCCTCCCTATCATTCCCTACATCCCCTCCTCGTCTTCTGCCAATACTGCCAGGTCATCTGCATATGCCAGCGTATACATCCTCTCCTTCCCCAACCTTCTTCAACTCCTCATCTATATCCGCTATTAATATTATGAATAACCACTCTTAAGAGTTCCATTCTTAAAAGACCGATTGGATATATATAATCAAAAAATTCGGGTATTTTATTTTAGTTTAGATTATTTTAGTTTAAATACTTTAAGTTCATCAAAATCAGAAGGGGACATTTCCATGTACTTATTTTAAAAATCAAAATTATAAAATTTAGAATAGTAAATTCAATATAACGACTGAAATCGGAGAATGTTATATGCAGCGATCAATATGTACTGATATTTGATAAAATAATAAAATTAAAAAATCCAAAAATATAAAAGTATAAAAGAAATAAAAAATATAAAAGGGTCAGTTGCTGCTACGTTCATATAATTTATTCTAGGTTCGACAGAGGGCGGTTTACTTATGTGACTTTATTTAACACCTTATAATAAGAACATTATAATAAAACGATTTACTGAATGTTATTCTATCAGATTAATTGAAACGACTGTTTTATTTTATTTTATTCAATTATGAATATATTGATTGAATATAAGAATTACCGATTTCAGTAGCTACATTTGTTGGACATGGATATGCTATTTTAAATTTTATAATTCTGATCTTTGATTCGTAATTAGCGACACTAAAAATATACAAAATTTATACAAAATTACAAATATATAAAATTTAATTAATTACAAAATTAATATACAAAATTAATAAATAAAATTTAATGTGAACTATCTGAAAAATACTGAAAATCATTATTTGGAGCCGTCATTTTAAATCTTAAAATTTTTACCGTAGAATTGTGAGCAGCTGATGAAATTAAAAAAAAATTGTTACAAAAGATTTCATAGTTTTTAATGGCTAAATATCATTTAAATAATTACATTAGTAATATTTATCATTGAATATGTATCATACCTATTTTACAGACTCTCCCAAATCCCGAAGTTTTTATTGCAAGTAAAAAGAGATCTTTGTTAACATCTATCAGTGCCAATTGTCGATCGTTTATGCCACCAATATGACTTAACGCCACCTGTGTCACGTTTTGTAAGTGTGAATACGTTTGACCTTCTGTTATAGATTTATTGTTAGCTATTTCCAAAATATGAAGTACTGAAAAAAATATTGAAATATTTAATAAAGTAAAATAATTATGGATTTGCACATTCAAAGGTCAAATATTTACAGAGTTAATCTAGAGCGAATCCGCTAAAACAAGAACATATCGAGTGCATTTTCCGTTATATTCTATATATTTATCTTACATTTCATGTTATTCTGATCCCTTATGACCAAAGTGTCTGAAGATAATGATATGCAAGGAGGATAAAGAGGTTCCTGAGTAAATCCTTTCCACTTGGGAATACCCAGTAAACGACCTTGATAACTATATAATGACACAGTATTCCATTCCACAATCAAAAAATGTCTGTAGAATAATGCACATATATAATTAATACATTATAATATTAATAAGTATAAAATTGTATTATTATACGCACTATATTACCCATTATATTTAACTGCTTACTTTTCCGCAAGAAGTACGGCAGAGAGAGTACTACTTTTCAAGTTAAATATTGCAGGAGTATTCCAATTTGTCACAGAATATACGTGACACTGAGCGGGTGTAATGACGACTAGATGTCCGAAACCGAATTCGAGATGCACTACACGATCAGAGATTTCCAATACTTCACGAACTTCATTACCAACTTCTCTAACTTCGATTACCTTTTTCTTCACTAACGTTACTTCGTAATTATCCCATTCTAATCTTCTGTGTGTATCATACATAAATGAAAATTATATCGTAAGATATCTCGTAGCTAATGATCTTAATTCATATAATTTATACATTAATAAATGGAATTAAGTTTTTTTTAGTAGAAATGTTAAGATACAATTTTCTATGCTCGAATTGATGTAATAAATCTAAGCAATTTTTTCCTTGAAACTTACTTATCTATCACATGTCCAGTTAATAGTTTTCCATTACTGCACACCATAGCCACTTGAGTACTATCGTTGGACCAAGCTATGCTATATATGCTCCCAGTATTCAATTTTTCCATAGAATGTGTCCACTAAAATATAGTGACGAATATAAAAATGCTAATATATTGATAAATCATAAATATATAAATTAATACAATAAAGAAAAATTTTGTCCATATATGAAACTTCTTAACTTTTTAGAATTTAATTATGAATATATTTATAAGGCAAACAAAGTAAAACATACCCCATTTTTATCACAGAGTTTGACAGTATTGAAGGATCCAACCGCAAAGTAGTTACCAGAAGAATAACACCAGCTAATTGCTGTCACAGGATGATCACCGATGCTACTGCTATACAACTGATTACTATTAGCATCCCATATCTGTTAAAAGTTATCTATAATTTTTATCAAATCTTTTCCTCTAGATATTATTAAATTCATACAAATATTCTTCCCTAGATAGAGGGGAGAAAAGAATTAGAGTATTATGTACCTTATATTTACAATCTTCACCACCAGAAACTATAAGTCCATTTGTTTGACTCCAACAAACAACCAAAATAAGATTGTCATGTGCATACCACTAAAATTAAATAAAAGAAATAAAATGTTTAATTACATTAAAAGTTAAAGATCTTATATATAAATATTATCTATTTTCAATAGAATTATTTAAATTTATAAAAATTTAATTATAATAGATAGTAAAATTTAATTATAATAGATAGATAATAAAAAATAGAAAACATCTTGTGTTAATATATACATATATTACAATGCATAAAGTATAAGAATATATCCAACCTTGCGTAGTTTCGAATTGGAATTGAGTGGCTGGAGAAGCAAATTTGATCCTTGAGAATATAAAATTGTTGAACAATCAGGACTCCAGGTTGATGTTAATATTGGGAAATTAGTTCGCACTAAAGTTGATCGCAACATACCACTACGAGACCAGATTTTGATCAATCCATCTTCACCTGCTATAATTGATATACTTTTTAGACTAATGGAAGTTAGGAAAATTTTATATTACATAATGCAAATAAATTAGGAGTTCTGAAAATCTCATTTTTTAAAAAATGAATGAAGTTACTTGAATAAGAACATTTATTCATGATTTAGAATATATTTAAACACATTCTTAAATACTAAGTAAAATATTGTTAAGTTAGTAAAATAAAAATATAACATCAAACCTGTTAACAACGCAGAACCATCATTGCTCCATTTACCTACTGTTGTTGCACCTTTGTGAGCTTCAACACTTTTTTCAATACGACCATTTTTATTGACTAAGTGATATTTTCCTTAAATTTATATATTAATTATATTATCATTATTAATTATATTAATAATATCATGTTGAAAATATATTTGTCATAAAATATATTTAGTTTTCTTTATATTATTTCCCATCTTCCTCTGTTATAATAAGAGGAAAAAGAGTAAAGGAATACAACTTTTTTTTATTAACCATATGTTATTTAAACTGTCATTTGAAATGATAGTTAAACAATTTATTATTTAATTATGATTAAAATAATTAAGCAAATTATTGATATGTAATTTCTAAGTTGAGTAACATACCATCAGCTGTAGTAATTAGTAAAACATCCAGAGATGATTTCTTGGCAATAAATACAGTATGATTAAGACATGGATGGCATTGCATATCTGTAGGATAGAAATCATTTGGAAATTGTGTTACAACACTAGCATGTGCAATACCACCTTCTAAATGCCAAGATATCAATAAGTGATCCTCCCTATATAAGAAATAAAAATATTAAATATTTTTTTAATTTAATATTTACACAAGTAAAAATGAAAGAAACTTTTCAAGATATGTTTTTTATCAATAATATATACAATTGTATATATGTGCTATGTATATTGAAGTTAATATATTTGCAATATATTAACAGACCTACCCACACGAATAAATTTCTTCTGCTGAACTCCACGCAACACAAGTGAGCAAACTTTTGTGCTCATTATTACCTTGTACAGATATCTTAAGTCTCATCATAAATAAATTTTGACATTAGTTCTCTATTAAATTTCAAATAATAACTTCACACTGTCTATTTTAAGAATATTAGTGGAAAGAAAATTCAGTACTTCACTTCATGAATGAACGCTTAAGAAAACGAATTACTTAATCAATTAACGTAACAAATGAAAACAGACATAGATATTGTTCATTAAAAATAACTGCTGCTTATTTTAGAGGAAATCGGTTTCGACACGAAAAAACTTGTGGAATAGATAGCAATAAGATCAATATATTTTGTTTATGTTTTAAATTCAGTGGTAACCATGGTAACATGTAAAGAGAAGACAGTGGTTGCGTTCAGAAAACAAAACGCTCATTGAGCGCTTAGTAACTATTGGCCCTTACTGTTAGAACCTTACATTCAGACCAATAACGTTGACGAATTACTCAACCGTTGTATAACCGTTGTGTTTTCTGAACGCAGCCAGTGATTGCGTTCAGAAAACAAAGCGCTCACTGAGCGCTTAGGAACTATTGGTCTTTACTGTTAGATCCTTACATTCAGACCAATAACGTTGACGAATTACTCAACCGTTGTGTAATACCTCGTCTACAATAGAAGTCATAAGGCTCGTCTACATTAGCTGTAAGAGTAAGGCTGTAAGGTTGCAAGGCACGAAATGAAATATTTTCATTCGCTGACAGCTTACGTTACAGCCTTACTCTTACAGCTATTGTAGACGAGCCTATAGAGTCGTAAGTCGTACAAATTGACCAATCGCGGTCGATTATTTTTCTCTTACCGGACTATGATTGGTCAATTTCTACGACGTACGACTCTACGACTTCTATTGTAGACGAGGTATAACCGTTGTGTTTTCTGAACGCAGCCAATGGGTGCATTCAGTACTACAACCGCTCACTGAGGGTGCGTTCGGGGAGTCGCTATTAGTGCTACCAACGCAAATGCTACAAATACTGTTCGTGGAGTCAATAGCGCGATAGCGATAGTAAATTTCATGAACAGCACTAGTGTAACGTTAGCATTACTGCGTCAGAACCGTTGTTTAAGCTAAGACTCCATGCATGCGGTGAGCTGCGGCAAACGGTTGCGGTGACCAATCAGAAGACAGACGCATGCCGGAGCTTGCCGCAACCGGACTTGCGCCTCCCTCCTGATTGGTCACCGCAGCATTTGCCGCAGTTCACCGCATGCATGGAGTCTTAGCTTTAGCTTTACCGCGAGCGCGCGGCAGGAGGAGGCACGTGACGAGTCAGCGCCGCTAAAATCTCTCCTGTCTGGCCCTTTCTCATCTTTCATGCAACGCACTACCCGCAATTCGGGAAGAAATATTTCGAGAACGCACGGATAATTTCTAGCAATGACACAACCCAGACAGCACCGGGCATCCAATGGATATATATTTTACGTCCAATTTATGTCCGTATGTCCGATTTACGTTCGTGTATATAAATTGGACGTAAGGATGTCCTTATTGGACATCGGACCTGTAGGACGTCCGATGTACGTCCATCGGACGTCCTATGTCCGAAGTTGTGACAAACGTACGTCCTATGAACGTCTTTTGTAAAAAAAATAGACATATAACGGACATCCAATGGACATCCGTATGCTGTCTGGATATATGTGTGTCTGTACGTATGTCTATATAGGGTATCTCATAATTGTAATACACCAACTCCATAGGAGCGTAGAACTAAGCGAGAGGAACGAAAAAGTCCTGTTCCATTTAGCGACATCTCATATAGTTTTTTAGTAATAACCGCGTAAAGTTTGGCGTTTATCACGCTCATTGCGGCCTATAGGTCCGCGGTGAGCTGTGTGCGTTGAAGCTAAGCGATAACGCTGACCGTCACGCGGTATCAACGCGCCAAGACGTCATGTCAGACGTCTATAGGACGCGATAGGCGTGACAAACGCCAAATTTTACGCGGTCATAAAAAATATACCGTAGTACTTTTGTATACCGTAAAAAAGCTGCGCAACGATAACGAAACTGTCGTTAACTCCAATAATGAGTTGAATCGCACTACAGGCCTCACAGTCATAACCGTAAGATCGGGAGAAAACTGACCAATCACATCAGTCGAGTATTTAGCACAAGGAGAATAGTCGACTGTGATTAGTCAGTTTTCTAACAACTTTACGATTACGAGTGAAATTTGTATACGTGTCTTCACGATAAAAAGTGCAATTGAGTTCAGTTAAAAATTTAGATTCTGATAATATATTGCTCAGTCATCTATTCACGTATTTAGTTTACCTGAATTATTTAGTTAGCCTACATATGTTCAGTTACGATGCTGTGTAATGGTAAATATAAAATTATTTTGAACAAAATCAATGATAAATCGTTAACAGGCGCATTTAGAAAAGTTTTAATTATGATTTAAATTAAAAATTATTGTATGGATATATATTTGTGAAAATATTTTTAATCATTATGTCAATATAATCTTAGTGTTATATCTTTTAGGAAAAATGTATCTTCCATATGTGGATGTTCCAGCAAAATTTCTAAATAATATATTTCAAAATAAGGAACCATGGCAAATAGTAACTATGACAACTACTGCTACTTTAGCTACAATATGGTTATGGAACTTCATATTTCAAGATGAAAGTAAATATAATTCTTTTATGAAGAATAATTAAATGAAGTATTAGTGATATCTTCCAAAACATTAATAATATTGTAAATATAATAAGATAATAGTTTGTTAATTTTTAAACATTTTTTCTGATAATTTATAGGTCTTACAACACGTGCAAAAAAACAGATATTTAAATTAGCTCGTTATATTCCTGCTATTCAGGATAAAATAAATAAGGAATTAACGAATGTTAATGAAATCTTTCAAAAAGATGCTTTAGATAGATTGAAAGACCTTCAATTTACTATAAAGCTTCCTGCAAAAGGATTAAGTGATGAGGAAATATTAAATATGGTAAAACAACATGTTTACATAGGTAAGATTAATTAATTTACTAGTTTAACAAATACTGTGACAACTTAGTTGACTTTTTTTATTTTCTAGGTGACTATAAGTGGGAAACAGGTCAAGTATCAGGTACAGTTTATAGGAATGATGATAAACTCGTAAGTCTTATGGGAAATATATATGCTATTGCATCGTATACCAATCCATTACATCCAGATGTTTTTCCTGGTGTTTGTAAAATGGAAGCAGAAGTTGTTAGGATGGCTTGTAGTTTGTTCCATGGAGACAATGAAGCCTGTGGAACTGTAAGTGGTGTTTTTATGATTGTTAAATTCTTAGCTGCATAAATTAGATAAGTATAGTTTTGACAAAAATATTTTAGATGACTACAGGTGGTACAGAATCAATTTTATTAGCATGTAAAGCATATAGAGACTATGCTCGTGAAGTCAAAGGTATAAAAAATCCAGAAATAGTGATGCCAATTACTGCTCATTCAGCATTTGACAAAGCTGCACAGTATTTTAATTTAAAAGTACATTCTGTACCAGTCAATCGGGATAGTTACACAGTTTGCATTAATGCTATGAAAAGAGCAATTACAAAAAATACAATAATGGTAAGATATAATATGATACAGTTGTACGAGATTAAATTTATATCAAATAATAGTTAGTTAATATCCATAATAGTTAGTAGGATCTGCACCAAATTTCCCCTATGGCACAATGGATAATATTAAAGAAATTTCTGAATTAGGTATGAAATATAACATACCTGTTCATGTAGATGCTTGTTTGGGTGGCTTTTTAGCCTGTTTTATGACTGATGCTGGCTATAATTTTCCCCCTTTTGACTTTCAACTTCCTGGTGTGACTAGTATATCTGCTGATACTCATAAGGTATTTATCTTTAATCTTATATTAAACAAATGAGGGTAATATGTCACATAAAATATAACAATCCAAAAATTTTTTTAATATTTGTCATATTAAAAAGTTCTTCATGAAGAGGTTTTGTGTATTTGAATTGTCTTTCTAACTATGTAAACAAAAATTCGTTCCTGTTCTTCCTTGAAGGAAGACAGGTACCATTGTAATTTCAAAGAGAATCTCAAAATATTACATGTTTGGATTCTACAGGAGAAAGATAAGCAGATGTTATCTGAAACATTCCTTTAAAAAATGTTTCTATTAAAAGTTATAAATATTTAAACTTTTAAAGTAAAGTGCATTCAAACTAATGTAATAAAACCATAAATTCAATAAAAAACTTCATAGTTTCTCCATTTTTTACTTTATTAAATATTCGGATTGTTGACTATTTACATTTAAAGACTCTTTACATTTAAAGACTTATAAATTCTTTTCACAAAATTTTGTCTAACTATAAACAATATTTCATAGATTATGCTAGCATAAATTTCATGTATTTTTTGTTTTAAATCATTCATTTTTAATTTTAAGTGTTTAAATTTTTTGTAGGTAATTGAAACATGATTTTCTTTTTGATATATGCCCATAAAAAATAATCAAAGGTGTAAAGTCAGATTATAACAACAAGGCTATTGAATAGAATCTCTTCGACCTATCCATCCATATTACCAAACAGTTTGTTTAAGAGAGATATTTGGTAACAAATGGATAGGTGGAGGAAATCCTGTTCAATAGCTCCCTCATTCAGCTGATTTTACAATTTGACAATTTTTAATGGGGATATATCGAACAAAAAAAGTCATCTTTCAACCTACAATAAAAAAAAGAGTTAAAACAAAGAATATGTGAAGCTTATGCTAGTGTGATCTCAAAAATGTTGTTTAGAATTAGACAAAATTTTGTAGAAAAAATTAATAAGTGTTTAAATGTGTACGGTCAGTAGTCCGAACATTTAATAAGTAAAAAAACAGAAAAACTATGAAGTCTTTTATTGAATTTATGGTACAAATATAAAATACAAATATTTAAAAAAATTTTGTCATTCTTTATGTGAGTTATTCTGTATATAATATCATACCATATATACGTTATTTGTATATGATACTGTAGAATATTGTACATACTATATAAGGAATATCATGCAATCCTTTTTCAGTATGGTTACGCTCCGAAGGGATCTTCATTAATTCTTTATAGAAACAAAAAATATCGACATTATCAGTACACAATAACAACAGACTGGCCTGGTGGCATTTATGGTTCTCCCACGATAAATGGTTCTCGTGCTGGTGGTATTATAGCCGCTTGCTGGGCCACATTAATGCATTTTGGATATGGTGCTTATGTAGAGTCTACCAAAAAAATAATTGATACTACTACTTATATCGAAAAAAGGTAGACAATTATAAAATTATAATTATAGAATATGTTATTGCGAATGCTCGCTGCTGAAAGATCGCTTATTGACAGATGTTGATATTGATCAATATTCTAATTTTTTTTTATAAAGTAATTAAACAGTAATAATAATTTTTCTAAGAAGACGTAAGTTTACTAATACTAATTTTGTTGCAGTAGTATCCGAGAATGTTGCATCGCGATCCGCGTTATCTGATCATGCGAGTGTGTGTTGATGTATGAACTCAATATTTTTGAATAAGAATTATAATAATATTTGTGATTAGAGATTATATAATCGTCCCAAGCATCACGCGGAAATATTTGTTCCAGCTTAAAGCTTAAGATAGTTTTTTTTTCTTTTCGGACGTTAAAATTGGACGTTAAAAAGAGGGAGTCACTTTTTTATCTTTTGTTGTATTGGTTTTTTATCAATTTTACCCTGATTTCAATGTTCATTAATATCGATAAGTTTCAGCGATCGATCTTTCAGTGCAATCGTAATAATATTTATATCATGATAAAAATTACAATTTTACAGTAATTTTACAATTTGAATATAGGTTGAGGAAATTAGATGGAATTTTTATTTTTGGTTCTCCAGTCACATCTGTCATTGCATTAGGTTCGAATCAATTTAATATTTATCGACTTTCGGAGGCTCTTAATTTCAAAGGCTGGAATTTGAATACATTACAATTTCCTTGCGGCATACACATATGTATTACACATATACACACTGAACCAGGTGTAGCTGAACGTTTTTTACAAGATGTCGAATGTGCATTGAAAGAAATTTTGAAGGATCCACAAAGTGAAGTGGAAGGAAAGGTAAAACAGCAAAATTGAAATTTATAATTCTAAAATGCTCTCTTTTGAGATGATAATTGTTATATATTTTTCAGCTGGCAATGTATGGAATGAGTCAAAATATTCCTGACAGAACTGTAGTAGGTGACTTTACAAGATACTTCTTAGACACCATGTATTATACTGGTGATAATTAAATATAACTTTGTAACTTATATAAAAATTATATTCACATATATATTATTTTGATATAATATTTCCTATAAGTATATTTTATAGTGTGATTATTTCCAAAATAAAAATATTACTCAATATTTAAAAGTATGAATATATGAGTCTTCCTATAGGGCAGAAACGGAAATTTGCGGAAGTGATTACGTTAGATACAAATATTACACACAAAAAATTCGTTGACATAGAGGCGTTCTTGAAATATAAGCGCTTCAATATATACGGCAATTTTTCTTATAAAGGTAATTTCTTCTTACAAAATAGCTTTTAAAATATAAATATGCTATTCATGATTTTTCTGTGCTTATAAGCTCTTGTTTTTAGATTATAAAAACAGGTGTTTAATGTAATATTGTAATGAAATTGACTTTACACATGTTTATGGATATCAAAACAAATTTTTAATATGCATTTGATATGTCCAATACTTACAAGAATAGGGTTGTGGCGTCAGATTTGATTTTAAAATTAGTGCGTTCGTACGTCACGAATCATATATTTGTTTGTTTTAAACAGTACCAGACGAGGATGACTTCTTGAAAGTTTGAATACAAAGCTAGTTTATGCTTATAATCAAATTATCACTTTGATTGCGAAATAAGGTGCCACAAAGTGCCTTGAACACCATAACGATCGTGACGTACAGATGAGCAAAAAGAATGTGCGTGAGATACTCATCGTTTTTTAAAATTTTTTCTTGGATGTTAGAAATGTTATTGAATAAATTATACTCTGCAGTTTGTCCAAATATAGGATAGTATAAAAAATGTTGTTATTAGCATTACAAGAATCGTGCATTTAATAAAAATTATGCCCCTTAATGTCTCATCCAGATGGAGAAATTATGTAGTCGTGTCCCTGTACGCGCCTTGGCAACAGAATTAAAAAAACCCGCCACTTAGAAGAAAACGCCGCTCTGTGCCGTGGCGCCTGTGTTTCTGTGCGCTGCGCGCGCCCTCGTTCTTCATTATCTTCTGTTCGTTAGCCTTGGTAACACGTGCGTTGGTTAGTTTTATCAGTTTCTTTCAGTTAATTTGTGCCAATTCTTCTTTTCAGATATGTCTAAGCATAAAAAATCTAAAAAGAATTCCTCCTCGAGACACTCGAGAGAGGAAAGGCACGCGCATAAGCACCGTTCAAGAGATTACTCTGGGGACAGGCGATTGCGGAGACAGGTGATTGCGGGACCGTTCACGCAGTAGATCGTGGAATGCACGTCTATCGCGTATTTCTCGGACGCCAGAGGATCTGTGTTCTCGAAGTTCCCTCGTGGAAATTCTTGACCGAACGCGTGAGTTTATCACCTCTAGTGAAGTCGGACATAACCTCCATTCTAAGGAGTGCTCTCAGGAGGTTATGTCATCCTCAGAACCATTCTTAGGGGTCCCTCAAGTATTCCCCTGGGAGGTTCCGACACTACTTCCTTCGTTCACGCCACAGGTTCCAGACCAGATTGTAGAAGAGCAGCCGGTCGCACAAGCGAACCGGGGCGTTGTACCAGGTATGTCCTCTTGTCGACCCAGCATTATTTGATAAATCCTGGCAAAGAGAGGACATAACCGATTGTCTCTTCTATCTGGTTACGCCGGTTTTTTTTCGCAAATCGATAACGTCGAGCCTCTGACTCCCAACACTGTGGCTTTCGCTGACACTCTTGTCACTATCCTCCCGGATTCTGAAGATCCATTGACTGCCCTAACATCTCATACTTTGGCCAGAGAACTGTTTGGCGGATCTGAGGTTCCCCCAACAATATCTTCTTGGGATCCTATCATTCTAGAATCGATACAAGCAGAATCCCGAGCAGGTTGAGTGAGGAAACTCGTAATTGTCTTCTGGCTAAATACAAAGTCAAGGACGACCTTGCAGCATTAGCTCCACCGAAACTCAATAAGGAGATTATAGCGACTTTAAGTTCTTCTACCTTTAAGAGAGACGAGTACCATTCACTCTTGCAAGCACAAATAGATGCCTGCCTCAATGCCTTGAGCTCAGGTATGTCGTTTCTATTGAAACCACAGCCTTTACAGAGCCTCAACGATGAGGCAAAATCTGCCCTGACAAACCTTTTAGAGTGCATACGCCTGCTTTCGGACCATTGTTATCGCCTCTTTCTGACAAGAAGAGCCTTTGTTAAATCTTCTCTCAATATTATCGGCAAGAAAGCTGCGGACACGGCGCCTTTGGACAAATTCTTTTCCGGCCACAATTTTGCCGAACCACTAAAGGCAGCTCAGGCCTGTGAGAGGACGAGTCGCGAGGTCGCCAAACCGGCACCTGTTATAGGAAGACGCTGCAACCCGTTCGCCAGCAGTCGTCTGCAAAATCAGGCATCTAGGCCACAACTCTGGGAAACCGCAGGGCCCCTGTTCGTTTTCCGCCGGCTCGACAAACAGGAGTCTCTTACATCAGCAGTCGCCGTCAACGACCTCAGTTAGGGACCTGGTCTTGTTATCTACATTAAGCAATGTAAGATCTGCCGGTCGTCTAAGCTTGTCACTGAGCAGTGGTCACATATGACCTCGGACCCCCTTGGTTTAAAAACAATTCAGGGGTACCGCATTCCACTCATGCATCCACTCCCGCTGAGGGCCTCTCTCGCAACCTATATTTTCGCAATCCACTGCCTTGCTTTGCGATTTTAAAGTAAACCGCATACTACTCAAGAGTGTTATTAAACCAGTCGACAAGATGCTATATTCGAAAGTTCACTAGTTTTATCGGCTCGGTCATCTCAGTATGCCCAGCAGTCCAATACGGGTTGCTTTATACTAAAAATTTGAGAGAGCAAAATATCTAGCCCTTCACTCGGAGGGAGATTATTCAGCTTTGATGAACATCCCTTCGGATCTAATCGACGATCTTATATGGTGGATTAATATATTCTCGAATCCCCACCAATCAAATAGAATTCGTTTAGGTAGATTTATCCGAGAATTTTTTTCGGATGTATCTTTGAACGGTTGAGGAGCTTCTTCTGGTGACCCTCGCACACGCCCGGTGGTCAGCAGATGGCTCTTCATATAAACGCACTAGAATTGAAAGCGGCGTTTAACACTCTTCAATGTTCCGCAGCAGATCTCAGTGACTAACATTTTACTTCGCATCGATAATACCACTGCACTTGCTTACATTAACAAATTTGGTACCGTTCAATATTCCTGTCTGTCTGCAATCTCAAGGGAAATCTGGTCCTGGTGCGAGAAGAGGAATATTTTCATTTTCGCCTCGTACATTTCATTAATAGAAAATTCTATTGCTGATTGCGAATCTCGATGCAGAGATCCCGACACAGAATGGTGTCTGTTTGACGAGGCTTTCCAGCAAGTGAATAAGGCTTTTGGTCCCTTTGACATAGATCTTTTCGCTTCCGCGATTAATAATAAATTTCCGCGATTAAAAATAAAGTGCGACGCGTACGTCTCTTGGTTTCCGGACCCGGGTTCGTTTACAACAGACGTATTCGCTCTCGCATAGGAGGCACTTAATTTCTACGCCTTCCCACCATTTATTTTATTACCATGCGTATTACGGAAACTTATAGACGACGAAGCAAAGGGAACTCTGGTGGTACCGTGGTAGCCATCACAAATTTGCTTCCCGCTGTTTCAACGACTCCTGATATCGAAGCCGTTAATTCTATCTTCCAACCATCTCTTACTTTCTTCACCTTTCAGGGACCATCATCCATCGTGGAAGACTCTTTCCCTGGGGATCGCGAAATTATCAGCGGGGCGTTTGAGACATGCTTAGTGCCTCCAGTAGCCATTCCAGCACTACTATCCTCACTTTCGGAAGCAACCATAAAACAGTATACTCGTCCTTTATGTTTTTGGTGGCACTTTTGTCGGAGGAGTAAAATACATTTGCATTCCTTAACGTTTTCTCAAGCACTGGAATTTCTGGCTCAGGAAGCACTCAACGTTTCTTCATACTCGAGCCTGAGTAATATGAGATCAGCAATTTCCTTAATCTCTCACAATGAGATTGGGAACCATTCTATGGTCAAGCGTTTCTGCAAAAATATAGCAGCACCGCGGTCTCGGTATGACTTTATTTGGGATCCGGCCCCTGTCTTAATAAAGCTATCTACGATTTATTCGTATGATTCTCCCTTCCTGAGTGTCATTACTAAGAAATTGGTCATTCTTCTTGCAATTTCGCAAATCTCTATAGACGATAAGCTAATTCTTCGCTTTTCAGATCGAATCAAAGCCTCAGCGTCGGGCCGTTCTCACTCTTTTTTTTTCTTTTCACGATTCGAAGACCATGAGAATCTTTGTGTCTTTCGCCTAGTACAATACTACTTGGAGAGGACTAGATTCTTGCGTCCTGCCGGTTGCGATACCTTCTTTATTTCGCCTAAGAAACCCCTCAAGGCGGTTACAGCACAAACGATAGGTCACTGGATTCGACAGAGCTTAGAAGACTGCGGAATTAACAATAATATAATCTCAGCCCATAGTACGCGTCATTCCTCTACTTCGCGGGCAGCCCAAAAGGGTGTTTTTTTAGACCTAATTAAACGCGCAGCAGGCTGGACCGGACAGTCTCGCGTCTTTGCGAACGTCTACAACAGGTCCATTATCAGTATAGAGGACTTTAGTAATGCGGCTCTTTTACTATGATATTTTACCTTCTTTTTTTCTCTCTCTTGAAAGAAAACATAGGAGTCAGATAATCTTAATTTTAATAGAAAACGATGAGCGTTTATCCGTATGTCATGCGAGTTTTTGCCCTAAACCTACCTAGAAAAGTTTATATATAAAGTGTTAAAACAAAAGATTCTAAACTTACAGAGTATATAGAATTAATTGTATTGAGTAAAAATTCTATGCCATAAATATAGATCAAAAAATAAAGGACAATGTTAACCCTTAGCGCTCCGTTGGCTCCGGTACGGAGACATCGCTCATTTGTTCAGTAACTCCGGTGGCTCCGCTGCAGAGCCAAATGTTTTTAACATGATTACACTTAAGATGCTATGTCATCGTCGCTGTAGTTAAAACGTGCTAAGTCTGTAATATTGAGGTTAAATTATTTTACGAACTTTTTTATGGTTAAAAACATAGAGACGAATGAATGTTATGATGAAAATTTAGAGCTGAGTGATAGTGAAGACGTATTTGATTTTCAAGTATTATTATTATTATTATTTTATTATTATTTTCAAGTATTATTTTCAAGAAAAGGATGGCAGACGTCAAACTAGTGAGTACTGTGACACTTGCCCAAGTAAACTCAGAATGCACATGGGGGATTGTTTCCAAAGATATCACACGATGGTGAATTATAAAATTTAAAATTTATGTTTCATTTGCAAGAGAAATATGCATATTTATAAAATAAATAAAATCAAAAACATTTACAAGCACGTGTAATTCCTTCCACACAAAATAAGACTTCTTCTCAGACGCTCCGCTACAAAAATGTGCCGGAGTTGCTGGTAGGCAGTGGTACAAAAACGCGCAGAGCGCTAAGAGTTAAAGAATCCCGTTTTTGTGTCTCTCGAGGGAACGGGCGAAACCTATTGGAAACATTGTGAATAAGTATCTATTTGAAGAAAATGAACTTCGGAATGTCCAGAAGTGAGGGAAAAATTTTTGACGCTGAAACAAAGATGCATATTATGAAAGATAAAGATAAGTTTACGGAAGAGTTTCTATGTTCTAAGTGCTACGTATTTTCACTATTGTTTTAAAAAGAGTAAATAATAATTTTAAAAATAATATTTTTCTAATATTAAAACCAACAAGAGGATGCAATTTTCAATATACCATATGTCCCGTAAAAACTAAGAACTAAGGTCTCAGAAGAGTGTCTTGACTCAATATTATAAAGGAGGAATCCCATTGGGCGTTTATCATATTGATCATCTCGGATCACTTCCATCTACGCACAAGAATTATCGACACATATTCATTGTCGTGGACGCTTTTTCAAAATTCATATGGTTGTATGCGACGAAAATAACCAACGCTGCGGAAATTTTAAGATGCCTGAAGAGACAGTCAGTTATTTTTGGTAATCCGAGAAAAATCATCTCCGATCGAGGTTCGGCATTTATCTCTCATGATTTCCGAGATTATTATGAAGCTGAAAAATTAGAACATGTGTTAATTACGACCAGCAAGCCAAGAGCCAACGGCCAGATAGAAAGAATAAATCGAACGGTGATTCCATTGTTACTATACGTGTATAGTAACTACTATACGTGAGCTCATAGAAGAGTTAACTAGTATATTCCAGGAGCAACGAGACGAAATACGAATCTAGGCCAAGCAAATATTCCCAAAGTTCAGCAAGAAAACAGGCACGGGTTTAACAAGACTAGGAAGGCGGCTGTACAATATAGAAACGGGCATCTGGTCGTTATTAAAAGAACTCAATAGGGGTCCGGACTGAAATTGGCATTTAAATATCATGGTCCTTATCGCGTTATTAAGATCCTGAGAAACGAGCATTATATGGTGCAAAAGATCGGTGAGCATGAGCGAACCCTACGAAACACAGCAGATGAGTACATGAAGCCTTGGATCAATAATGTCGATGAAAAACTAACCGATGATGAGGAGATTGAAATTATCCGAGGGAACATATCCGAGCAGGCTGGCCGAGTTGTTGGATGCTAAATTTTAATTTTTATAATCTGTCGAACTTATTCAAATAGCGCGGCGTGCACTTAGATTTAGCAGAGCAGCGCTAGTTTCGGCGCTGTAGCCGGCGCGCATGTGTGTAAAGCCAGCAGCACACGGTGCTTATTTTCGTGCTGGATTGCTTGCTGGATAAAAATACTGCGTTCTGATTGGTACATTTCCGAAGATGGATGGAAATGCACCAATCAGAACGCAGTATTTTCATCCAGCAAGCAATCCAGCACAAAAACAAGCACCGTGTGCCGCTGGCTTAAGCGAGTGAGGCGAGAAGAAAAACAGTCGAAAAGAGATAGAGAGTTAAGCGTGTGATTCGTAGAGAGTAAACCGAAAAGCGAGTTATATTCATAATAAACCAGTGACAATCGTAAATCCCACATATATTTCTTTTTAAATATATTTAATACATAGTATTTTATACTAAAAATGTTCATTTCACAAAATAAAATAAATACAATTTTATTTTTTCATACAATTCATCATCATGTTTACAATTCCAATGTTTTTATAAAATCCTGTTTATTTAAAATTAAAATTCGTATACATAACTACACAAATATATACAAATAATATTAAATATATATATATAACTTATAATAGAATAACATAATATAAGACTTTTATATTTGTCTTAATCTGCTCTGTCTCCACGAATTCCTCATACTGAGTTATTATAGGGCACCCTATATATGAATAAAATAATAAAAAAGAACTTTAATATTTAAAATGTTTAATATTTAAAAACATTTATTTTTTATAATTATCATAATAATATATATTTCTTTTTAAATATATTTAGTACATAGTATTTTATACTAAAAATGTTCATTTCATAAAATAAAATTAATACAATTGTACTTTTTTATACAATTTATTATCATGTTTACAATCCCAATTTTTGTCTTTATAAAATTAAAATTCATATACATATATACATATAATATCAAATATATTCACATAATTTATAATAGGATAGCATAATATTTTATATGCTATTATTTATACACACAGATATAACAATAAAACTTTAATATATAACATGAATTAAAGTATTAAAATATGTATTATATATTACAATTGAACATTTAAATGCTATTGTAATTTCATAAATATTTATTATTATAAATCATCGATGATTTATAATAATTTAATTTATTAATATTTACAATTACAATAAATTTTGAGAGAATGAATTTTATTATCTAGATAAATTATAAATATTAACCTATGTCCATTTCACGAAAAGAAAGAGCAATTCTTTTTCTTATACTATAATCACTTTCTACCTCTTAAAAACCAAAAACACTTCATTTCCTTTTAAATAAATATATTCTGTAGAAAGAAGTGTAATCAACTCCAAATTATCTTGTAAGTATTTAAATCTATCGAGTCCATCATTTTTAAGTCTCATTATGCTTCTTTGTGTTGCAGGCTAAAAAAGAATAAAATATATTACTTTCTTAGAAAGTATTAATATTTTTATTAATTAGAACTAATTTTCTGATTTCTGACTCTTTTTTTTATTATTTATGCCATAAGTAAATAAGATACAATAAATATTATATATTTTAACATCTTTCATCATTATTACTTCTTTCTTTCTCTGTATGTAGCAATATACAGGGTCTGCCAAAAGTTCCGGAACGGCTAATTATTTAAAAAAATAATAATTGTTTAAAACAATGTTTGAAACAAAAGTTGTAGGGCTTAGAAAAAGCTATCAGAATATTGATAATTGTTTAACCTTAGAATGACTTCGAGAAACGTTATCAAGGTCGACATAAAAATCTTAAATAGAAACTCAAATTTTTTATTACATCGTCTTTTTCCACCAATTAATTTGAACAACTTTTATCTGAAACATTTTTTTATTTGCCTAATATTTTTTGAGATATTTAAGGATAATTTGGTAACTTTTTTAATATTTAATTTACGATATCTCGCTAACTGTTTGTCGGGATAAAAAAAGGTACTAGACTTTTCTATTCTAATCTCAAGAATATATTGGCACAATAATGTTCTATTTTTTGTTAATTTATCGATCTTTCGAAATTTTAAAATTATCGAATTAACAAAAGTCAGGGCGCTATTGTAACAATATATTCTTGAGACCAAGTAGAATAGAAAAGTCTAGTAAATTTTTTTATCCCGACAACAGTTAGCGAGATATCGTAAGTTAAATATTGAAAAAGTTACCAAATTATTCTTAAATATAAAAATATTAGGCAAATAAAAAAATGTTTCAGACAAAAGTTGTTCAAATTAATTGGTGAGAAAAGACGACGTAATAAAAAGTTGGAATTTCTATTTAAGATTTTTATGTCGACCTTGATAACGTTATTCAAGGTCAAACAATTATCAATATCTGATAGCTTTTTTTAAGCTCTACAACTTTTGATTCAAACATTGTTTTAAACAATCATTATTTTTTGAAATAATTAACCGTTCCGGAACTTTTGGCAGACCCTGTATATGTATACAGGGTGAGTCAAAAGTATGACAACCCTTAAAAATCTTGAAAGATATGTTTTACAGAAAAGTGTTTTAGACAAAAGTTATAAGGTTCAAAACAATGCATTTACTGATCTTATCAGTTTGATCTTGAGTGGTGTTGCCAAGATCAGATCAAGGTCAACTTATTTTTTTTTTATAGAAACCCCAATTTTTTATTATATCATCCTTTCTACCAATTAATTTTAATAACTTTTATCTGAAAAATTTTTTTATTTGCCTAATAGTTTTTTATATATTTAAGGAAAATTCGATAACTTTTACAATATTTAACTTACGATATCTCACTAATTATTTGTCGGAAGAAAAAACTATTAGACTTTTTTACTCTACTTGGTCTCAAGAATATATTGTTACAATAGCATCCTGACTTTTGTTAAATTGATGATTTCAAAATTTCCAAAAGTCAATAAATTAACAAAAGTTAGGGAATTATTGTAATCATATGATCTTGAAACCAAATAGAATAAAAAAGTCTAGTTCTATCATTTTTTCTTCCGACAAGTAGTTAGCGAGATATCATAAGTTAAATATTCAAAAAATCATCAAGTTTTCCTTAAATATCTCAAAACATATTAGGTAAATAAAAAAATGTTTCAGACAAAAGTTGTTCAAATTAATTGGTAAAAAAGATGATATAGTAAAAAATAAGGGTTCCTGTTTAAAAAAATAAGTTGACATTGACCTGACCTTGGCAACGCTACTCAAGGTCAAACTGATAAAACCAATAAAGTTTGAGCCTTATAACTTTTATCTGAAACACTTTTCTGCTAAACTTATATCTTACGAGATTTTTAAGAGTTTCCATACTTTTGACTCACCTTGTATATATACGGGTGTCTATAAAGTCCGACTCCTGAATCTCGAAAACGGCTTTAAATATGGAAAAATGTTTCAGACAAAGGTTGTAGGATATTAAGGGGGACAGATGATGAAAGTGTGGATTTGACCTTGAGTGATTTTATCAAGGTCAGGTCAATGTGATGTGTCAGGTCGATGTTTTCTTAAATAGAACTCCCCATTTTTTATTAGATAATTTTGTAGCCCTCGTCGAAACATTTTCAAAACACTATCTATTTGTGTCTTTTGCCTAAGCCATTCCCAAGATATGAAGCTTCAAAGTTGACATACCGCCGGCATTCGCATTACCCAAGGTGTATCGCGTGGAGGTTGCACGGTCGGATTTATGCCACTTGTGTGTGCGTGTGTATGTGTGTACTATGTGTGTGTGTGTCTGACTGTGTGCGTGTATGTGTCACAATAGAGATAAGGATTCCACAGTTCGTCATTCCCGTAGTATCTTTTGACTCCAAAATTGTATCTCCAAAATCTCTCCACTGTGACTCGGACTTTACAGACACTCTGTATATAAATATACATATACAGGGTTTTCAAAAAGTCCGGGAACGCTAAAATATTTCGAAAAATGTGAAAGATACGAAAAAATGTTTGATACAAAAGTTGTAGGGCTTAAAAAGATCTATTTAATAGCTATATCAGTTTGACCATAGGTGGTGTTGCTAAGGTTATATGAAGGTCAACTTTGTTTTTTAAATGGAACCCCCTATTTTTTATTTGAAATTCTTGTAGCTTATCTTGAGAGCTTTCCAAAAAACTATAATGAAGTCATTTTTTATTAAGTTCTTTCCGAGTTATGACGCTTGAAAGTTACAGTACCGCCGGCATTAGCATTACCCGAAGTGTACCGCGCGGAGGTCGCACGGTCGGATTTACACCTCGCGCGCGCGCGCGCGCGCGCGCGCGTGTGTGTGTGTGTGTGTGTGTGTGTGTGTGTGTGTGTGTGTGTGTGTGTGTGTCACTACAGAGATCAGGACCCTACGGTTCGTCACTCTCGCAGTATTTTAAGACTCCAAACCCTCTCCGTAGTGTATGTGTATATATGTGTGTGTGTGTGTGTAGGTAACATTTTTCAAGCTATTGTTTTTTATTTTTTCAATTCATCAAATGTTCAAAATGTCTTCCTTCTACTGTTTGGCAATGAGCTAAACGTCCATAGAAACTAGTGATCACATGGCTTATTTGTTCTAAAGTGATCAGAGATGTTTCCTGCATTATTCGATTCTTTACGTCTTCCAAATTACTTGGTTTCGTCGCATAAACCTTACTTTTGATGTGTCCCCAAAAAAATAAATCAAGAGGAGATAGATCAGGTGATCCAGCAGGCCACTCAATGGCACTTCTCCTACCTATCCATCGATTAGGAAAAGAATGGTTTAAAAATTCTCGAACTCGTACCGCAAAATGAGGTCCTACTGCATCTTGCTGGAACCAAACGTTTGACATATTTGCGTAAAATAAATTTTCAATTTCAGGAATATGATCTCACAATAAATTTTCATATTTTGCAGCATTTTAATCACCATCTATGAAAAATGGGCCTATAATACCGCGACTACAAATCTCTGTCCAAAGATTTAATTTTTGTGGATATTGTGTGCGAAGATCACTCATCCAATGTGGGTTTTCGTCACTCCAATATCTACAATTGTGGCGATTAACAGCACCATTTATTTGAAATATGGCTTCATTAGAAAAAATAAAATTCAAAAAGTTAGCATTATCATCACACCGATGCATCAGTTCTTCACAAAACTGAATTCTTCTGTCAAAATTATCTCCCATAAGTTCTTAAGCAATAACAATTTTATACGGATAATATTTATGTTTTTTTAAAATGTTAGAAACGCTACCTTTACTGATATCATGGGCTTGTGCTGTTTTTGATACGGACAAATGAGGATTTTCCTGAAATGATTGGAGGACATCCAAAGTCTTATTACCATTAGTTGCGGATTTTGGCCTTCCGCTGCGAGATCGGTCCTTAACTGTTCCCGTTTCAAAAAAACGAGTCACTGTTCTGCAAACGGTGAATTTAGAAATAGGATCGAGATCAGGATGTGTAACATTGAATAGATCAGCTACTTCTTGATATGATCTAATACTCAAATCCTCAAACCCTCGATAAATAAGTAGCAATATTCTTTCTTTTTCGGTCAACATTTTTCAGAAAAAAATGTGATATTATAATCGGAAAAAGAAACAAAAGAGACAAAGAGTGAGATACGAGCGAGCGCAACTCGTTTTTAAAATATGTGGGCCGAGAAGCATCTCTGGTCGCAGTGTACCTCCGCGTGGTACACTTTGGGTAATGCTAATGCCGGCGGTACTGTAACTTTCAAATGTTATAACTCGGAAAGAACTTAATAAAAAATGAGTGTTTTGGAAAGCTCTCGAAATAAGCTACAAGAATTTCCAATAAAAAATAGGGAGTTTCATTTAAAAAAACAAAGTTGATCTTCATATGACTTTAACAACGTCACCTATGGTCAAACTGATATAACTACTAAATAGATCTTTTTAAGCCCTACAACTTTTGTATGAAACATTTTTTCATATCTTTCATATTTTTCGAAATATTTTAGCGTTCCCGGACTTTTTGAGAACTTTATATATATATATATATATTATATGATATACATATACCGATTGTTTCGGACCACCCGGGCACCCGATTTTTTCGTTAATGCGACATTTTAGAGAAAAATATTTTAGACAAAAGTTGTAGGGCTTCAAAGGATCTATTTACTAACGCTATACATTTAACCTTGGGATAACCTTGAAAAGTCAAGTCCAGTCAAGATCAACATAAAGATCTTAAATGGATACCCCAATTTTTTATTATATCATCTTTTTCTAGCAATTAATTTGAACAACTTTTGTCTGAAACATTTTTTTTATTTACCTAATATTTTTTAAGATATTTAAGGAAAACTTGATGACTTTTTCAATATTTAACTCACGATATCTCGCTAACTATTTGTCAGAAGAAAAAGTGAAGTGAAGTCAGAAGAAGAAAAAGTACTAGGCTTTTTTGCTCTATTTAGTCTCAAGAATATATATATACAATAGCGCTCTGACTTTTGTTAACCTGCTAATTTTTGGAAATTTCAAAATCATCAAATTAGCCAAATTCAGGACGCTATTGGAACAATATATTCTTGAGACTAAATAGAGCAAAAAAGTCTAATACCACTTTTTCTTCTAACAAATAGTTAGCGAGATATCGTTATCGAGTTAAATATTGAAAAAGTCATCAAGTTTTCCTTAAACATCTTAAAAAATATTAGGTAAATAAAAAAATGTTTCAGACAAAAGTTGTTCAAATTAATTGCTAGAAAAAGATGATATAATAAAAAATTGGGGTATCCATTTAAGATCTTTATGTTGATCTTGACTGGACTTCTCAAGGTTATCCCAATGTCAAATTCATAGCGTCAGTAAATAGATGTTTTGAAGCCCTACAACTTTTGTCTGAAATATTTTTCTCTAAAATGTTGCATTAACGAAAAATTCGAGTAACCCGGGTGGTCTGAAACACCCGGTATATATGTATATGTATGTAATGTTCATATAATCTAGCTTCACGCGCCGCATATAGCTCATATACTTCTCTCATTGTCAGCTGATATTCATTATTTAGCGCGTAAACTACATTCTCTTCTTTATTCCCGGCGTGAAAATAATGATCACACAAATATACTTAAGTGTAAAATATTCATAAGCAAAGAAAAATAGAATATAAGCTTACCATATAGATTAGATTATCTGTGCATTCGTTCGTTGCGTTCGCTATCGTCTTTCGTCGAGTGCTTTTTCCCATATCACGCTCTCATTCTTCGTTCTCAATTAAATTATTGAGCATAACTTCTTTTCTCTCGTTTCGCATTCATCTTTTCCGTGTCTTCTGACGTATGCGTCACGAGACATCCCATAATCCCGCATGATTTACGTCTCAACAATTAAAGACCGGAGAAGTAAGTGGAGGAATTTGCGTACAGTTTCGTACAACGTATTGATAAGGAGGCAGTCTCTCCAACAAATTCACCAATAAGGAGCGTCATTAGCCAGATGATGCCAAGACGCAAATTCACTCCAGGTACGCATGTTCATCCTAGTGGCATCCGTGACACGCTGAACGCCATCCCTTGTTTCATTATTATTCGAAAATCCATTGCACGTTATCGACGAGGTGTCGAATCGTTTGACCAATACTCGAGGCTGGAACACAAATGCAATATATTTTTAGTTTTTTGGTATTATTATTGTGACAAGATTTTATATCTTTATTTAATTCTAATAATCAGTTCATTTAAAACTCCGTTTTTTAATAATTAGTTCACTTATATAACTATTTTATTCATAATTAAAATGTAAAATATTAAATTTGGATATTAACATGTAATATTCCCAAGAATATTTTAATGAATCATAGTAAGTCATTGCTGTTGTATAATCGATTAAGAGAATAATCCGAGGAATACTCATTCGTTATTTTTATATATGTTTATAATTAATTTCGTGTAAATTTTGCAAAGTATCCGTTGTCGCTACATTATCAAAGAATGAGTAAAACCTCACGTATGTATCTGATGCATATATTTAACGGATGTTAACTTTCAAAATCACATCCAAACATAAATCTATAATTACATTCAGAAAACTTTTGAGTAGTTACTACGTATTACTCGTATCATTGGAACACTTTTTTAAATATTAAGAGGTTACATTGAAAGCCGCTGTTATGTAGATAGCTCTAACTATATATGCTGTGGGCAGTAACAGATATCTCTTATATCGTTTTGAAATGTGAACATTTCTCACTAAAATTCAGTCCTCAGACGTCATCCTTTGTTTACACAAGTGCTTTTCTATAATCAAATTAAAATGGAACGCGATAAATTGTTTTTCCGATATATACAGTCTATTCCACAAGAGCGTACGGCTTCACATTTTATTAATAGATGACGCACAGACGTTAAGTTCGGTTTTTCCAATTCTCTGAACAGTTCGGAAAAATGTTTTGAGGTGATATGCGTAATGTGACTTGTTTTGTCTGTAACACAACAGAATAAACACAATGAGTGCTGCGTATGCAAGTCGTTTTGAAACAGTGTTTCTTTGCACACATCCGAAAGAACCGAAAATGTCGTATGCAGCTGCCGGCCGCTACATGAAAAAGTCAAAGAGGTTGGTTAGGAAGCGGATGAAACGTTATAACAAAACAAAAACAAGTGTTAACGACCTGCCGGAACGTGGCACCCAGCGCTCAACGACGAAAAAGGACGATAAAGCTATCATCAAGATATTTGAGAAGAATCCTAGATGTTCGTTACAGCGAGCGAAGAATCTTTTATTGAAAAAGGATATAGAAGTGAGTCTTAATATTAGCAGACGACGATTGTTTGATTCTGAATACAGCTGGCGGTCCACAAAGTTAAAACCTTTCTTGAGCGAGAAACACATCGAAAAACGGTTGGAGTGGGCAAAGGCTAATATTGACCGTGATCTTGCCAATATAATCTTCACCGATGAATCATCCTTTTGGGCCTGGATTCCCAGAAGGTATGCGAGGTCGACTCGTCACGATCCCGTTGTTCAACGTACAGTAAAACACCCAGTAAAAGTACTCATGTGGGGATGTTTCTGTAAACAGGGATTTGGTACTTTGTATTTCTTCACAAACAATATGAATGCACAGAAAATGAATATGATTTATCATAAGTGTTTATTAAAGTCTGCTCAAAGATGGTTTGGCTCAGATAATAGTTCATGGGTGCTTCAAGAGGACAAAGAACTCAAAACACCGAAGTCGTGCGTGTACGGAGTGGAAACGTGAAAATGACATCACTACAATGGATTGGTCTTCCCAATCGCCTGATACTAATCCTATCGAAAACGTGTGGGCAGTCATGAAGATCAAACTCAGAGAAAAGAAAATTTTTAATTTAAAGCAGCTCGTTCGTCATATACGAGAAATCTGGAGATCTCTTCCTGAGACAATGGCTGAAAATCTCGTGGAAAGCATGCCCTGACGCTGCCAGGCCATACTCGATAACAAAGGAGAACTTACTAAGTAAACGCATTTTAGTTTATTGAATTTATTAATAGATCCAAATCAAATTTTTAACAATTTTGTGTTTTTTTAGAAGAAACAGCCCGTACGCTCTTGTGAAACAGATTATACTTTTACATTACTTTGATTTGAAAAAAAGTGTAACTGAAACTCATCGATTGCTTGCGAAAACTTATAGCAAATCTGCTCCATCGGAGACAATATGAAGAGATTGGTTTTGACGGTTCAAAAGTGGTGATTGTGACGTTCGCGACAAACAGCGGCCAGGTCAATCGAAAAAGTTCGAAGATGAACAATTGCAAGCTGTATTGGAAGAAGACCCTGCTCAAACACTCAAAGAATTGATTCAACAGCTCGAAGTCGATAAATCAACCATTTCGCTACATTTACAAGTCATGGGGAAGATCCAGAAATAAGGGAGATGGCTGCCACATAAATTGACCGAAAATGCTATTGCTAATCGTTTAAACATCTCCGACCGATTTCTTTGTTTGTAAGGAATAAAAGGAAGAGTTTCTTGTGGCGTATCGTGACTAGCGATGAAAAATGGATCTATTTTGACAACCCGAAATGCAAGAAATCATAGGTTGATCCTGGTCAACCGTCAACGTCGATACCAAAGCGAAATATCCACAAAGTAATGCTCTCAATTTGGTGAGATATGGAGGGTGTTATGTATTATGAACTATTGAAACCAAACGAAACAGTTACCGCCGAACATTATTGACAACAATTGGAGCGTTTGAATGATAATTTGACGCAAAAACGACCATCAATTGTATCAAATCGCCGAAAAGTGATTCTTCTTCATGACAATGTTCGATCCCATGTTGCTACAGCCGTGAAATAAACACTGATGGAGCTCGAATGGGAAGTTCTCCCGCATCCAGCGTATTCTCTAAACCTAACCTCAAGCGATTACCATCTGTTCCGATCGATGCAACACACTTTGGAAGATATATATTTCCATAATTACGGGGAAGTGGAAAATTGGGTTACTAAATTGATTGGCTCAAAAGACAGATCGTTCTTTTGTCGCGGAATTCAACTTCTGCCTGAAAAGTGGGAAAAAGTCATAGCTTCCAAGGACAAATACTTTAATTGATGTATTCATACATTTTATTATTGAAATAAATGCTCAAAAAACACAAAAATAGCGGCTTTCAATGTAATCTCCTAATATATCATATGAATGTAAAAGTATATTTATAATTTATGCTATTGCTACTTTTATATTTATATTTGTAATTTTTTACAATACAAAAGAATATTTAACAATTAGAAGAATAATAACACTAATTGTTCATTGCACATTTCCTCACTAGAAGAAATAATAAAAACTGTTCATTGAACATTTTATCTTATTGAACGTAATCAATTTATCTCAAGAAGAGAATATATGAAATGCGAGGATTGAGACACCTACCTCTTGCTTCTTGCGAACCAGATAATTTTTGCCATCATTATTGTCCCACGATTCTATACCGTCGGTACGGTATCGTACGCAAAACTCAACTACATTCGATGCTACCGGCAACGTCAATCGAAAACGAAAGGTGTCATAGAGAATGAGGGCCGGTGTCCCAGGCTGTTCTACATATGTGCAATGCACGTCCTCATGGGTGGACCAATAGTCGTTGCTAACCCTCACTACGACCTCTTTATCGTAGGCCAAGTTCCTGACTTTCACTGTGCCCACCAAGCACTGCTCAGACTCGCGCACGATTACGTTCTCTAGGCTAACGTTATCCTGATCAAGTTTACGACGAAAGGCAAGGTAATCGCTCGCTGGTTGTGGAAAAGTCACCTGCCAAGGTGGCGTAACATCCTGCACTGTGTCCTGATTCTCCTTTGACGTGCGTAGCAAATCGCCGGTTAATCCAGTAACATAAGCCGTACTCCATAATGGTGGCATGTTACTTGGCTCTGACATCATACGAACCTGCATGCCAAGTTAGATGTGCATGATACAATGAAGAATGTACGATAGTATGATATAGTTTGATAATGAAAAAAAATCTAAAAATTGATTTAATATAAACATGTTTCTCTAAAAAATAACTCATAATAATAATAATAATAATAATAATAATAATAATAATAATAAACATAATTATAAGTTAATATATTAAATATTAAAAGGCATATATATATGAAAATTTTTTGTTCCTTTCGACAAATAAATAAACAATAATTAAAAACATTAAATAAAAAGTTCTAATTATTTATATTAGAAGACACCTTGTCGTTAATCTTTCCCTTTCTTTCATATATGTTATCAACTATATAGCCCTAAATAACAATTAAAAGGTTTTAACATTAATTTTTATTTATTATTTATTAATGTTTCTCCCTATTTTCGAGGAAAGTAGTTAACATTCTATTCTCGATTAGGGTGAGGGATTAGGGATGAGGAGTCACGTCCCCTTGGAGATTTGCGGATTTGGTCACTTGGTCTGCCGAGTTGAAAATCATATGAAAGAAGCTAGTTAAAGCTAAGCTAAAATTAAACGGCTTTAAGCTTGTAAAATATCCTGAGCTCCGATGGTATTCCTGCCAGCACCTAGAGTCAGGATTCTTTCAGAACAAGGTTTCTTAAGGACAGATTCTAACGGCCATTTGACGTTGGCCTGCAGTGTGCCCGGCTTCCTCTAGCAAATGGCATAGATGATTATTTTCTACAATACAGGAAAGTCCGCGGACTCTTCTTCAATTTACCAGCCTATTATTTGTTTAGTGAGACGGGTAAGCTTTTCAAGTATGTACTCGCCGCTCGTCTTCACCCGCCTGGCCCACGTTGACTCCAATCTGGCTTTTAATCAGTTCGAGTTCCGAAAAGAACAATCGATAATTGATACGGTCATTAAGTCCTTCTCAGAGAAAGTCATATTTTTTCTTAAGCCGAGATTATATTAGCGGTGTCACTGAACATCGTCAACGCATTCAAGATCTTACCTTGGAAGAACATAAGAATTAGAGGACTCGAATGCTACTGAATGTCCTTTATCTCGGAAGAGTGGTCAGAACCTATCTACGAAACAGGTAGATATAATACTTCAGTTCGATATAATAAGATTATATATACAGGATGTCCCATTTTAAAGGACCCACTCAAATATCTCGGAAACACTGCGTTAAATCGAAAAATGCTTAAGACAAAAGTTGTTTAGCTTGAAGGGGGACATAGGACAGCGATAGCATTTTGTTTATAGATGGCATCACTTTCGAGATATTCACTGATCATCAATTTTCTTAAATAGAAATTCCAATCTTTTATTATATCAACATTTCTACAAACTAATTTGAACAACTTTTGTCTGAAACATTTTTTTATTTGCCTAATATTTCTTAAGATATTTAAGGAGAACTTGGTAATTTTTTCAACATTTAACTTACGATATCTTGCTAACTATTCATCGAAAGAAAAAATAGTATTAGACTATTTTACTTTATTTACTATCAAAAACATATTACTATAATAGTGCCCTAACTTTTGTTAACTTATCGACCTTTGGAAATTTCAAAATTATTATATTAACAAAAGTTAGGGTACTATTATAGTAATATATTCTTGATAGTAAATAAAGTAAAAAAGTCTAATATTATTTTTTCTTTCGATGAATAGTTAGCGAAATATCGTAAGTTAAATATTGAAAAAGTTACCAAGTTTTCCTTAAATATCTCAAAAAATATTAAGCAAATAAAAAAATGTTTCAGACAAAAATTGTTCAAATTAGTTGGTAGAAAAAAGTGATATAATAAAAGATTGGGGTTTCTATTTAAGATAATTGATGATCAGTGAATATCTCGAAAGTGGCGCCATCTACGAGGGTGGTCCGATAAGTACTTAGCCTACAAAAGAAAAACGAAAATTTTGGAAAAGTGGCGATTTATTTCTCAACATAGTCTCCTTTTAGCTCGATACACTTTTAGCTCGAGACCCAGCGATGCTCCAACTTCTTTAATCCGTCTGAAAAATACGTTTTCTCGAGGTCTGCAAAGTAGGCCTCCGTGGCGGCGATGACCTCCTCATTCGACTCAAATTTCTGCCCGGCGAGTGACTTTTTCAAGTTTGGAAACAAAAAGAAGTCGCACGGGGCCAAATCTGGAGAATACGGTGGATGGAGCAGCAGTTCGTAGCCCAATTCGACCAATTTGACCGTGGCGAGGGCGGAGGTGTGAGCCGGTGCGTTGTCATGGTGGAAGAGCACTTTTTTCTTCGCCAAATGGGGCCGTTTTTCTGCAATTCGGCGTCGAATCGGCCCAATAATTCGGCATAGTACAGCCCTGTGACCGTTTTGCCCTTCTCCAGGTAGTCGATGTAGATCACACCTTGTGAATCCCAGAAAACGGTGGCCATCACCTTTCCGGCCGATAGGACAGTCTTCGCCTTCTTCGGAGCACGTTCGCCGGGTGAAGTCCACTGTTTCGACTGTTCCTTGTCTCTGGTGTGTACCAGTGGATCCATGTTTCGTCGACGGTCACGAAACGACGCAGAAACTCCTTCGGATTACGCTTAAACAGCGTCAAACACTGCTCTGAAGTGGTCTCACGGTTGCGCTTGTTGTCCGGAGTGAGCAAACGCGGCACCCATCGCGCCGACAGCTTTCTCATGCCCAAAATTTCATGCAGGATGTGACCCACGCGGTCTTTTGAGATGCCTACTGTCTCAGCTATCTCGCGCACCTTCAATCGGCGGTCTGCCAATACGAGATCGTGGATTTTTGTCATGTTATCCTCCGTGGTAGCCGTTTTCGGGGCACCTGGGCGTGGCTCATCAAAAACCAACGTGCGACCACGTTGAAACTCGTTAAACCAATTTTTGACGGTCGCCATCGAAGGAGAAGAGTCACCGTACACAGCATCCAAGCGCTCTTTGATTTCGCTGCGCGATTTCCCTTCCAAAAACAAGAATCGAATCACCGACCGATATTGCTCTTTTTCCATTTTTCTAAAATCCGCGGACACGCCCGCTTCCACACGCGGTCAAAACAAAACTACGAGTCCGATTCGGCTGAAATTTCGACAGTAGCCGTCTACGAGAATGTACTACACGATAGTAAATTTCTTTTGCGATAGTGGCGCCATCGGGCGGTGAGGCTAAGTACTTATCGGACCGCCCTCGTATAAACAAAATGATATCACTGTCTTATGTCCCTCTTCAAGCCAAACAACTTTTGTCTGAAACATTTTTCGATTTAACGCAGTGCTTTTGAGATATTTGAGTGGGTCCTTTAGAATGAGGCACCCTGTATATACAGGGTGTCCCATTTTAATGTCCCATTCCAAATAACTCTTTAGTATTGAAGTTTCAAAGACAATGATCTGAATAAAAATTGTAGGGATTTAAATGAGCTACCTTATGATGACCTTGACTTTGACCTTGACCTCTATTTTCAAGGTCATTTGAAAGTCAACTTGCGTTTTTTAAATGGGAACTTTTATTTTTTATTACACTGTTTTTTTCTACTAATTAAGTTGAACAACTATTGTCTAAAACATTTTTTTTTGTCTAATATTTTTTGAAATATTTGAGGAAAACTTGATAACTTTTTCAATATTTAACTTACGATATCTCGCTAATTATTTGTCAGAAGAAAAAGTGGTACTAGACTTTCTTGCTTTATTTAGTCTTAAGAATATATTGTTACAATAGCGCCTTGATTTTTGTTAATTTGATGATTTTGGAATTCCAAAAAGTCAGTAAATTAACAAAAGTCAGGGTGCTATTGTAACAATATATTCTTGAGACTAAATAAAGCAAGAAAGTCTAGTACCACTTTTTCTTCCGACAAATAGTTAGCGAGATATCGTAAATTAAATATTGAAAAAGTTATCAAGATTTCCTCAAATTTCTCAAAAAATATCAGACAAATAAAAAAATGTTTTAGACAAAAGTTGTTCAAATTAACTAGTAGAAAAAAACAGTGTAATAAAAAATAAGGGTTCCCATTTAAAAAGTGCAAGTTGACCTTCAAATGACCTTGAAAATAAAGGTCAAGGTCAAAGTCAAGGTGATCATAAAGTAGCTCACTTAAATCCCTACAACTTTTATTCGGATCATTTTCCTTGAAACTTCAATACTGAAGAGTTATTTGGGGTGGGATGTTAAAATGGGACACCCTGTATATACATACAGAGTGTGGCAAAAGTCTGGAAACATTCAAATATCTCTTAAAAATGAATTAAAAAAACGGTTCAGACAAAAGTTCTAAAGTTTAAAAAGATGCATTCAACGATAATATCCACTTGACTTTGGATGGTGTTGTCAAGGTCAGGTCAAGGTCAACCTGATATTTGTAAATGGAATCCCCAACTTTTTATTATATATTCTTCTAGCTTACCTCGAGAGTTTTTCAAAACACTATAACAAAGTTTCTTTTCGTTAAGTACTTTCCAAGTTATGAGGCACGAAGGTTGCAGTACCGCCGACATTAGCATTACCCAAGATGTACCGCATGGAGGTTGCACGGTCGGATTTACATCTCGTGTGTGCATGTGTGTATGTGTGTGTGTGTGTGTGTGTGTGCGTGCGTATGTAAAAAAGTGAGTGAGTGAACGATTGAATGAATATGCGTTTACAAATTTAAATGTTCGAATTGTTGGCCTTCTTCAACTTGACACTGAAGCAGTGATCATGAAAGCTCCTACTAACATTTTCCAATGTTTCGGAGATAATTAATGCCACTTCAGTGGTAATCCGGTGTCGCAAATCATCCAAATTTTGACGTTTTGTTTTGTAAACGCGATCTTTTAAATAACTCCAAAAGAAAAAATTCAAGGATTTCATGTCAGGTGATCAGGGTGGCCACTCGATTGGTCCCCTCTTTCCTATTCATCTTTCATCATCTTTCAGGAAGTGTCGTTTAAAAACTGTCGTACCTACAATCCAAAATGTGGAGGGGCACCATCCTGCTAAAACCAAACTGTATCAAAATTTAA